ATCTGGTGTAGCAGTTACTTCCTCCCATTTTTTGGATTTGCTTTTATAGGAGAAGACTTTTCTGAAGATATATCTATGGTGTTGGTTGGGTAGGGCACTTTAGTTTTTATTCTGGGTGCATGTAGCAATGTAGTCTCCTTATGATTTCTTCAGCTATGAACAGATTTAGTTATGCCTGTGATTTCCTCCATGGCTTAGGCTGCAGTGGAGATTGTGGTGAGGTTTTGCTGGGAATGGGGATGCCAGGTGGGCCTATCCTCTGACCCCCCCATCCCCTGTGGTGCCCATGGGTACAGGCTGCATTTAGTAGGTCTGGGTGATCCTCAGGTCCCCTAGTGGAATACATGGGTGGTGGCAGCAGTGGCAGCAGTGATTGGGTCTGCTGCTGTGAGACAGGGGTTGTTATCAGTGGTTGCAGCCCCAGGCAGGCTGGTAGGTTTCAGGCTATAAGGAGTATGAGTTTTGGCTCCCTTTGTACTGAGGACAGCCTTCCTGGTTTGCTGCACTACCCATTCCTGAGAGTCCAGGATATTGTTTGCACTGGACTGTTGGGGACCCTGCTGCTCCACTGGGTCCAGCCAGCATCACACCACTGCAGCCCTCCTGGTGCATTTGGGGGGATGTTGGTGGGGCTCTAGGGATGTAGAAATGCAGGGGATATTAGGCCCCAGGGCACAATGCACTCTGGGAGGGGCTGGGCTCTGAAAATGGCACCCTGCTGCAGCTGCCTTGGACTCACAGGGTGAGTGGCACCCATTGTTAGTTCCCTCTTTGGAGCAATGCTGTTACGCAGTCCCCCAGCAACTCCCTATTCTAGTCTCAGGGCCCATGAGGGTCAAGGGACTTTTTAATGTTTCAGGAGTCCATGGTGGGACTAGGACCTGATGGGGATTTCTAACTTGCCTTTTCCCTATACTGGGGAGCCTCTCTGGACTGTCAGTCAATCCCAGCCTAGCCGGCTGCCTTGATTCCCTCTTATTCTGTGTTTCTGGTGTTTCCTGTAACTTCTCTATTGAATTCGATGTTCTCTCTTAGATGCTCTATTCGAAGTGTGATTATCTACTTGCTATTTTGGTTCTTCCTTTTGGAGGAGGCACATGGCCTTCAAGGCCTTCTAATTCCCTGCTGTACACAAGATTTTTTTTCCAGCCTTTACTTCCCTATATACCTCCTTCCCCAGCCCCTTCCTTCCCAGGATTTCCTGTCTCTGCATACCCTGACTTTTATCCCTTGCCACAGGTGGCTGCAGCTAGTATCTTTGCTTTGAGATGCTTCTGACAAACACAGGCTGGGGAAGCCACTTCAGTCAGGAGAAACAAAGACCAGCCTTTCTGTGATTCTGTGTTTTTACCTGTCTAGTGGCTCACCACTGGACAAGTGAAAACACAGAATCACAATTAAACACGTAATCACAATGAATTCAAGTAATGAATTGAGTGTTTTTTAATTAATTAATTCACAATTAATTCTTTGTTTTGTTTTTTAATTTTTTGTTTATTTCAGAATATTAAGGGGCTACAAATGTTTAGGTTATGTATATTGCCTTTGCCACACCCGAGTAAGAGCTTCAAGCATGTCTATCCCCCAGACGGTGCGCACTGCACCCATTAGCAATGTGTATATATGTACCAATCCCCTCCTCCCCCCTCCCATTTGCCTGACACCTGATGAATGTTATTACTATATGTGCTCTTAAGTGTTGATCAGTTAATACCAACTTGATGGTGAGTACGTGTGGAGCTTGTTTTTCCATTCTTGTGATACTTCACTTAGGATGGGCTCCAGCTCTATCCAGGATAATACAAGAGGTACTAGATCACTGTTGTTTTTTGTAGCTGAGTAGAATTCCATGGTGTACAGACACACACACACACACACACACACACACACACACACACCACATTTTATTAATCCATTCATGTACTGATGGGCATGTGGGTTGTTTCCACATCTTTGCAACTGTGAATTGTGCCGCTATAAACCTTCTAGTGAAAATGTCTTTTTCATAGAATGTCTTTTGTTCTTTTGGGTAGATGCCCAGTAATGGGATTGCTGGATCAAATGATAGATCTACCTGTATCTCTTTGAGGTATCTCCATATTACTTTCCACAGAGTTTGTCCTAGTTTACAGTCCCACCAGCAGTGTATGAGTGTTCCTATCACTCCACATCCATGCCAACATTTATTGTTTTGGGTTTCCATTAAGATTGCTGTGGTTCTCAGGATAATGTGGTTGCTGTCAAACTTCATGCTCCAACTTTGCACACATTCTATGGCATGTAGAGACCTCAGATGTCTCTATTTGACTGTTCTACAATACCCATTTTTATAGGAGTACAAAATCATTTGTTCTCCACAACCCTATTAATGCAGTGAATGTGTCACATTTACCTTCATAAATGCAGTGTATTCTAATTTAGACAGTTTCTAGAACTTCAAGATATCATTGAGCCTGTATTTATCATAGGTTTCAAATTCTAAACTTATTCAAAAAATCATAGCAGATGAATAAAATATTTTAAAATAATTTATAATTCTTAAAAAAAATCGTCTCATTTGTATACATCTAGAGCTTTAAATTCTGAGTAGCTACGCTGTTTGAAAATATTTAAAATGTCTCTTCATAGTCCGGGCGTGGTGGCTCACGCCTGTAATCCCAGCACTCTGGGAGGCCGAGGCGGGTGGATCGCTCAAGGTCAGGAGTTCGAGACCAGCCTGAGCAAGAGCGAGACCCCGTCTCTACTAAAAATATAAAAATTAGCCGGGCATCGTGGTGCATGCCTGTAGTCCCAGCTACTCAGGAGGCTGAGGCAGAAGGATCGCTTGAGCCCAGGAGTTTGAGGTTGCTGTGAGCTAGGCTGAAGCCACGGCACACTAGCCCGGGCAACAAAGCAAGACTCTGTCTCAAAAAATAAAATAAATAAATAAATAAATAAATAAAATGTCTCTTCATGTTATTCAGAAAAAAGTGAACTTTGGCACGATAAAAGTTCCCTAAATTGACTCTTAATTGGTTATCTAAATATGGAATTCCAATTTTACCCTACTTAAGATAAAGTATCTTGCTGTATTCACCATTAATGGCTGCAATATTCCCAACAAAGAAAATGCAGGTGATGTTGGCTTAATGTGAGATGGATTTTATTCCTAGGATGTGCATATAAACAAAAACAAAAAAAATACTCAAAATGAATGACTATGTCCACCTGCCACAGAGCAGATGTGCAAACTGGAAAGTATTGTCTGTGTATCCATTGTCATCTTAGCTAATTCCTTTGCCCTAAAGCATTAGATGGGTTTGGCTTTCACCAGTTCTAAAGAAAAGACAGATGTGTGGTATTCAGATAGACTTTGTTCTCTGTTGTGCACAGAATATAGAAATAAATTCAGAATTAAAAGAATAAATAAGAAGAATGGGCACCTGAAAGAAGCCCCTAGGTACACTTACCTGTATTAGAGAAGCTTATATTAATATAAAGGGTTCCTAACAACATTTATCCTGAACTGTAGTCTTTTTATTCCTTGTCAGATACCAGATTATAAAGAGCTGTAATAAAAATGATCCTAAACTATGGTTTCTTTAGGATGATGAGCTCACCAAATATCCTTTAACACACACCATGTCTAACAGCATCTTGCCAAGTATGGGTAGTCAATGGCCAGGCTGGGCAGAATTATGTGAGACACTTAAAGACAAAAATATTCCCAGACTTCTTGCCCAGAGATGCTGATACAGCAGGTCTGAAGTGAAGCCATGGAATTTGTGTATTCTCATAGACATTTATGATTAGGAATCAGTTTAGAAGAGTAGTTCTCAACTGGGGCAATTATGACACCCCGGGGACATTTGGCAATGTCTGGAGACATTTTTGGTTGTCACAGCTTGGAAGGAGTATATACTACTGGGCACCTAATGGGTAGGAGCCAGGGCAGGGATGCTGCTAAATATCTTAGCATGCACATGACTCGCTCACACACCCACACAAAAATTGTCCAATCTAAAATTTCAATAGTGCCCGAGTAGAGAAATATTAATCTAGAGAATATAAATACATATCCTTAGAGAGTCCATAATTAGCCAGTGTGAATAAAAAGATGCACCAAAATATCACACATTCATAATCAAATCAAATAAATGGCATTAGTCAGAAGGATTGAATTAACCCGCATTTGGGTGAGGTAAAGACATAAAGTGTAACTATAATATTTGTACCCTCACAAAACCCTGGAATAATAAAAAAAAAATTAAAAAAAAGGAAAAAAAATAAAAAAATAAAAAATCTAAAAAAAAAAATTAAAGCAAAATTTTATAAATGTTTTACCTCAAGATAATTAGTTATTTTATGGTATGACTAGAGACATCCTAGTTGAAAATATGTGAGGGAAACTTTGAAAAGTTCTCTGCAAATATCTCTGATGAGATATTTGTAATGGGAATTATCTGAGTAGATTATGCCTGCACTTGAAAAAAATGATTTAAATTTTGACTGATCCTTAACTATTAATAAGTAGAAGAATTTTATTTATAGACAACAGAGATGCCTTTTTAAATACTGACTGTGAAGTAAAAATAGGACTAATTCTGTAAGTGCCATCTAACAAGCAAATAGAAGTCATATCTAGGAAGAGTCCATATGATTTTTTAAAATGTTTTTTTTTCTTTTTTATCCTCATCTTACTCTCTCTTACAGATGTTCTTTCCTAGTTTTGTATTATCCTTAGACATCAGATGCGCAGGACCAAAAAGTACAATAAATTACTGGAAATTATTTTGGTTGCTGTCAATGTAGGGCTTAGATTAATAATGAAACCAATTAAATCCTCAAATACCTCCTATGGCAACAATAAAAATTTAATTTACAGAAAGAAATAAGGTTAGCTGTGTTGAACATCATGTGTGATCACAGTGAGACCCAAATTTTCAAATATATTTGGTCAAAGAGCCAGCAGCTGACTGATTTAATCAAATAATAACAGAATACATGTTTATTTTTTTCAGCCATCTCCTGCATCTCTGATGATAACCAGCCCGCAGAAATGATGGAATGCCTCAAGCAGACAAATGGCATGCCTCCCCTTGCACAAGAATGCGTGGTCCCATGTCGAGAAGATTGTACCTTCACTGCTTGGTCCAAGTTTACACCCTGCTCTGCAAATTGTGAAGCCACCCAAAGTAGGCGACGACAGCTCACAGGTAGGGTGTGGCTTTCACTCTTTAGCTTCAGACAAGCCGTACATCTCTGAACATGAGCTCCACAAGACAGGAATTTGTGCCAGGGCTTTCCCACTCCCCATGCCCGAATACATATCCTCAACACCTAGAGCAATGCCTGGTCCATAATATGTACTCAATTAATACTTGTGAAATGAATGAAAGATGTGAGCCATTTTTAGCTAGTAAGTTCATTTCTATATAGTTTTCTAATCTTTGTAGTCATAAAAGGCATTTTATCCAAGTTATTTGGAGTAGTTAATGGCACGGTTTCTGGTTTTGTCATGCCAGGGTCTCAGCAACCTTGAAAGCAGTCACCGATTTGGAAAGAATGTCAAAAGCAGATCGAACTTACATCATTGTTTTTGCCATTACCTCATAAGCAATTTGACATTTTAAAGTTTTAGTAGTGTAAGGCAAAGATCAAATTACATATCCAGATTCTGCTTTGTGGCATATTATTAATTATCAGTTCTGTTTGCATCTGCAAAATTTAATGGAAATTAAAGCAACTAATAGTTTAATTGAAGTCCTGGAGCAATTTTTGCCTGCAATATACAAATAATTGATGCACTAGTGTATTATACTACTTGTCTAGATAAATATGCCGCAACTTTTCTTAACTTTATGTGTATTTGTATATGCAGAAAACTTAATTCAGGGACTGGAGAACCAAAGGAAAAATGCCGGAATAATCACTGAAATAATAAAATTGGTGTTGACATTGAAGAATTAAGTGCAGATGACCATTTGTTCTCATGAGCAGTTCAAATGCTATTAATAATTCTCTTGGTTCCAAGACCCCTTTGTCTGAATGCATTGCTTACCTGATCACATTTTAAATTTAAATCACTGTAATAGATTTACTTAATTGACTAGAGCATTTACCAGGATTTCTGCACACAAACTGAAAGCTCATTTATAAATGTAGGTGAAATGTATAATCACAAATAAAAACAAATAAGATATGCTGTCCTTGTGCTCTCTCTTTCACAAAAATTTGTGCATATATAATTTTATACCACATTGCTTATATTTCTAAGGCAAAACAAATTTCCTGTAGATAAACAATACAATGAAATAGACTGTGTGGAGTAATTTGAAGTTCGGGGCCAATTTAATGAAACTTTGTTTGTATGTACATACATAATGTGTCAGAAGCCATTATCCTAGCAATTCTTTATATTTTTGATATGAGAGATGATTTCCTTTAGAGGGAAAGGAAGTTTTTAATTAGTAGCCAGTTTTTTTTTTTTTTTTTTCTTGAAGATTTGCTAATGCTATTTTGCACCTGCAAAATGAGAATGGAAATTATTGAAAAGCCTAAAATACTTATTCATTTTATAACCGGCACAGTTTGTGTTATGCATTATTAAAACTCTAATGAATTTGACTTTTATTTAAAATATACTTTTTATATAAATATTGAAGAATGGTTGTATATTTTTCTGCAAACTCTAATCCAAGGATTACTTATACTAAAAGACGGCTTGTATTTTCTTTTCTAAATCATTAACTGATATACTTTTAGGTGGTTAATTTATCTTTGTGTGTCTTCTTTTCTAGGAGATACCAAAACAATTGATTGATTTCATGAGATACATGAGTTATTAAAAAAAAACAGTAAAATGAATCATTTAGTATCTTTGTTGAAAAAAACAAATCCCTGCAGTGAACTGAAATTTTTCCACTTTTCAAGACTTATTTTTATTGATGTGAAACTAATGTTTGCATTTTGGTATCCTCGGTGTAATTTGGTAGTAATAAACAATCTCTAACATGAACGGTGATAAAAGCCTTGAACTCAAACTCTAAAGCCATGCGACTCTTTCTCTTTCAACACAGACACATACAGAGAAGCATATAGTCACAAATAAAAGCCATTCTATTGAATATCAGGCCATCTAAAGTATTTATCTTTCTTTTTTAGATTTTTAACACAAGGTTTTAATTCATTATCTGGGTGTCCTGTGTGTTGTCCTCAGATTATAAAATCACAGGTTTTAGCCTGAGTGGTTATTAAAGTAGTTGTTTATACAATGCTGAAAATAATCAAGTCATTGAATAGAAAATCTGTCCAGGTTTTATATATAATATATATAAAATGTAATATGTAAATATATATTCAAAATAACTAGATAACTAATACACATTCTGACTTAAGGGAAAAACGTCCTTAGAGTTGTACTAGGGATTGATTTTTTTAGTACAAGCTAGTTCTGAATCCAAAGGTTAATGCTGGTTTTGATTAGAATGTAATCAATGTTAAGGACCACTGATAATTTGTTTCTTATTGTGAGAACCATTTCTACATTAACTAACTTGCTCAAATCCTTCTTCAGACCAGTGAATCCATGTAATTAAGAAGGATATTACAAAAGTAGAGACAGAATATATTTGTACAGAATATCTGTTCTGCCAGTAACTTCCAGTTTTTTCCTTTTCTCCCCTTTCTCCTCTTCCTCTTCCTTTTCTCTCTCTTTCTTCCTTACTCCTTCCCTTTCTCCTTTTGTTTTACAACTTCCTTTTCTCAATTATTCAATGAATATTTTTTGTTTACCACTTAATGTGCTAGGCCTTGGGAATATCACAAGGGAATAAATAGACATGACATTAACTTAACAGAGCTTACGATAGATTTTTACTACAGATAATTGCAACACAGTATAGCACCTGCTATAGTAGCTGTTGTGTTGGGTGCTGTATTAGTTTCCTATTGTTGTGGTAATAAAATTGCTGATTTGAAACAACATAGATTTATTATTTCACAGTTCTGTAGGACTGCAATCTGAGCCAGGTTTCACTGAACTAAAGACAAGATATTGGTTACATTCCTTTCTGGAGTCTCTAGGAGAGAATTCGTTCCCTCTGTTTTCAAGCTTGTAGAGGCTGCCCACACCCCTTGGCTCATGGTCCTTTCTTCGATCTCCGAAGCCAGTAGCATTGCATCTTTCTAACTGTTCTTCCATGTTCAAGGATGGCTTCTGGAGGCAGTAACCTATTAGTTTGGATCTGAAGGACAAGTAGGCATTAACTAGGCTAAGGAGGGAAGGAAGAACTAGTGGAAATTTCTGGAGTAACATATGCAAAGGCCAGAAGCCAAATGAGTAATTTCCAGGAAATGAAAGATGCTCAGTATGACTGGATCGGAACATACCAGAGGCAGAATGGTGCAGTATAGGCAGGAGGCAGATACTAATAGGCTCAGATCTATGGGCCTTGACAACCGAGGTGAGGAGTCTGAGCTATGGTTAGCCACTGACGGGTTTTAAGTAGACAAGCGATGTGATCAGATTTACACCTTTGAAAGCCGGCTCTGACTCCAGTGTGGTGAACAGTTTGAAGAGAGTGAGATACTGTGGTAACAGGATCTTGGAGGAAGCTGTCATAGTTACTTAAGCTGGGGATTTAAAGTGGGGCTAAATATGGGTGGTAGCAGTTGAAATGGAAACAAATAGACTTGTTCAAGAGATAATGATCTCTTGAACATCATTTGAAGTAATATATTTTTGTTATTAATCAGATGTAGGGGGTTCAACAAAATATTCAAGAAATTCCAGTTTTTGACTTGGTGATGTTGGTGGAATTGGGGAATGCAGGGAAAAATGTTTGTAGCATGGAGAGGAAGAGCATGAATTTGATCAGTTCTTTAGGTGTAGATTTTCAGTTTATGGCTCAGAAGCTTAAGCAAGAAATCTGGAATGAAGATAATAATTTGTGATTGAAGAAATATAGATGGTAATTTAAACTCTTCAAGTGGGTGAAGATTTAGGATCGAAAGAGAACCTAAGATAGTACCCTGAGGAGCCCCATAAGTTGAGAGAGGTAAAGAGGAAGAAGAATTCACGAAATAAATAAATAATATGTGGCCAAAGGGATGGTGGGACATGGGGTGAGGTTTTTACGGAGAAGAAAAACCCCATGGACAGAAACATGGGGTATATGTGATAGAACTTGGAAAGGTAATTTCAAGAACGAGGGTGTGGACAATAAATTGAACTATCGGTGAGTGATCAAGTCTAAAAGATAAGGATACACAGATAGTCCAGGGTTTTGTTTCTTCTTTTCGTTGTTATTGTTTGTCTTACCACTTTGTTGACAGTGGTTTCAAGGAATAGATAGACTCAGTGTCCAGGGTTAAGTGGGTTGAGAAAACAGTGCAAACTGAAGAAATGGATACAGGGGCTTTCAACAGTACTTTATGGAAGTTTGGGAAGAGTAGACACTTGGACATACAAAATGCTGATAGGAAGGAGCCAGTCACCACCCACTGTATATCTCTCACCCTGTGATGGAGGCTTTGCTTCTCAAACTTAGTCTAAGTGTCCCTAGCAGTAGAGGCAAGTGAATACCTCCTCCCAGAGGGACAGAAGTATGGTGAAGCTACTTCCAAAATAATTTCAGTTCCTGCAGGATTCCTGCTTATTTATTGTTGGACACAAGCATCAAGGCAGACCACAGAGCCAATCACCCAGTTGACAATTATAGAATTCTGTGTGATGCAGACCATCTGACAATGAGAAAGTAGCCCGTGCATCATGTTGTATCAGACATTTCCAAAGCAGCCATAAACACTGGAAATAGAACAATAAAGCTGACTACATTTTTTATAACCAGGCATGGCTCTAGCTAATGACTACTGAGAAAACAAAAAGTAGAATTATTAGATCTATGAAAATTTTCAGTCATCTAGAGGAAGTGTGTTGGCAGAAACATTAAATCAAGTTACAGGCTGACCTAGAATCCACTAAACAGGATTATCATGTGTTCACAGCCGCATTGTCTTACTCAAAGTTGGGATCACAGCTGAAAGGTCCATCAAGGTGAACTGGTAAGGTAAAGTCATGTTCTAAAATACTTAAGTTAAAAGGGTCTTGCAAAGTGGAAGTCATAGCTCTTTCTCTGATAAAATTTTCCAACGTGATTTGATCATTTACTTCAATTTATTATTTGTGTCAACATTTGAGAGCTGCCTGATAGCAGAGACAAAAATAAGTTCAGCTTTGTCCATCACACTCCAAGGGACCCCTACTCTCACTCCAAGGCCACTGTATGGGAGGATATCATTTTGCTTCTTGAACAAATAAACTCAATTTTTAAAAAGCTGAAGAAAAAGAGAGTGAATTACTATTTAGACCCTTTTGTTGGTTTCCCTGGAAACTTATTAGTTTCAAGGAGAATGAAGACAAGGTAATCAATCTCTATAAGTAAACTGTAGAGAAAATAATATTAAATAAATTAACAAGAATTTTCTAGATTTTGAGCCACTATAGCGAACATCTTCTAAGTATTTTGTGCCACTCGTGAAACCATTTTCTATTTTCTTTCAATTTAACTTGAATTTCACAGTTGCCCTGGGAGTTGCTTCCATTGTCCTAGGATTTACTTTCATGGATGACAAAAAAGAGTGAAAAAAAGGCTTTACTCTATTTAATGTTTAATATTCTAAGAGTTTGTCAATACGAAACGATGCGTGACTTTTTAATAAAACAGCATGTATGAAATTAATACATCAGTGTCTCTTGTTGGAACAGGGAAAAGCAGAAAGAAGGAGAAATGCCAGGATGCTGACCTGTACCCTCTGGTGGAGACAGAAGTATGTCCTTGTGATGCATTTATATCCCAACCTTATGGAAACTGGTCAGATTGCATCCTTCCAGAAGGCAGAAGGGAGCCTCAGCGAGGACTGCGGGTGCAAGGAGACAGCAGAGAGTGTGGAGAAGGCATGCGCTTTCGAGCAGTAGCCTGTTCTGATAAAAATGGAAGACCTGTTGACCCCTCACACTGCAGCAGCTCTGGTAAGGAGATGGATGAGGAGGAACAGATGAGAGCATTGACACAGTTCAGGAGCTTTTTCCCCAGGTCTATAATTAGTAGCTTTGTTCTACAATAATTGTTTTAGCTCTCCTTTGTCAATAACACTCTGCTTCTCTCAAAAGGTGGACATATAAAATGCACACATCTGTATCTCGTGATTATCTAGAACGTGGTGGTTTTGGATCCTTGACTCATCTCAATCTATACTTCACCTTTGTTTATTGGCCACTTGTTTACTGGTGGTGAGCATGGGTGCTCTACTTCACTGAAAAAGCCCAAGTCTAATACAAATGAATATATCTTATGCTGTTTTGTTGTTCTGACTGTATACACAGAAGGCATCAGACCTCGAATTTCTGCTAAGGTAGTTGACAAAATACCAATGAAAACATTGATTTTTAAATGTTTTACTGTACAAGGTGTAGGTACACCCAAATTAATAGAATAAAGCTGTAGGAAATATAAGAGGCAATCTGGGAGAATTTTGTGAGATGTTAGAGAGAAAACTGTTCTTGAACCTTAGTTGCAAGAATTTGAAAGATATGGGTGAATGGGGGAAGGAATGAAAGTTAAGTAGAGCTGGGATGAACGCTGGTGAAAAGGCTGAAATTGATAATTATAAGCTTATGAATTTTCTGCTCTATTTTTCTTCTTTCATGCCTTTTTATTTTAAGACTAAACAGTTGAGGAATTTTATAGAGTAAGTATGGAGAGAATTCATGTTTGACTGGGAAACTCTGGAGAAAAATGGATAGGTTTTGGTCTTAGTCATCAGGTCTTATATACTATTAATAATAAGCTTTCTCAGTAATACCAGGAATGGCAATTTACGTTCGGTTCTAATGTACAAGTCAAATACATGATAGTTCTTCTTTATTGCTAATGTATTAGCTTATGTTTATTTCAGATATACCCATAGTATTATATGAATGCGATTTAATAATGTTTATTTAATTAGTTCCATCATTTCTCTATGTATGCTTCCTAGGTTAGCTTCTATTAATTGTTTTAGGTGATTTGACTCCCAGAAACATTAAGCATATCATAAGCAATTAATAGACTCATTTTAGGATGACTGTAATCTTTGTTTTTCAGCTTTTATATGCATATTGGTTTATTTATCCATTCATTTTTATGAATTTTATTTATCCATATTGAACACCTGCTATGTACTTGGACTGATATGATTTGGGTGTACAGTTTTGGGAAAATCAGGGACGCATAGATTTTTATTGTCCACTGGAAGATAGAACTAAAATAAATAAATAAAAAGAATTTCAAGTCTTGGTCAGCACTGAGGATGCTGGATAGAAAATCTTCAGATAGACTTTTGGGAAGTCCTCACTGAAGTGGCATCAGTCTGAGATGTGAAGTGTGAGAAGGAAGTGGCCATGTGCAAAGTACATAGCAAGGCCATCGCACTTAGTGGGATGTCTAGAAAATGAAAGGCAGCAAAGATGTTCCAAGAAAAAAATAACAGAAGCCCTGTGGTTTGAGTAGAGAGAGTGAGGGGAGAGCTGTGTGAAGTGAGGTTGAAGAAGAAGGCAGAATCTTATGAGACAAGCCAAGGATTGTGGATCTAATTTAAGTTTAGTCATCAGCTGGGAAGTGGGGTAGGTAATGTGATCCAATTTAGCTTTTTTAAAGATCACTTTTCGCTACTGCCTGTAGAACGGCTTGAAAGGGGCAAGGAAACCACTGGAAAACTATTGCAGTTAGTCAAGGTAAGACACGATGGTGAGTTAGACTAGGGAAATGGAAGTAAAGAAATAGAGAAGTAGTTTTAAGATATAATTTGTGGACAGAATTAATAAGATTATTCCAAATGCAAATCATCTTTTTTATATATTATCATTTATCTCTAATTTTTCATAGATTTATGGAAGGTTTAATTTAGAAGATAATCATTTCAGGTTAGAAATGAAAATATCTTCAAGGAAGAGGCAACATCTGTAACTTAAACAAATTTGCAGTGCAATAGCAAAACCTATCATGGAATCTAAAATATTTTCACCAAATGAAAATAGTGCATTAATTGAGATTTACTATAGGCTCATAACTTTTATTATATTTGTGTTAGGATACTTTTGTAGTACATCTTTTCAAAACAGGCGAGTTTTTTGTTTCTTTTTTAATAGCAAGAGAAAGTGCCCCATTGTCACCTCTAGGGACATGATACATACTCATCTATCAAAGGAAAAGAAAAAACTTAATTGTCACTAATGAAGAAAAATTTATTATTTGTTTATTTTGAGACAGAGTCTCTCTTTGTTGCCCCAGCTCGAGTGCAGTGGTGTCATCGTAGCTCACTGCAACCTCCTGGGCTCAAGCAATCCTCCTGCCTCAGTCTCCTGAGTAGCTGGGACTACAGAGCACAATACTATGCCCAGCTAATTTTTTCTATTTTTAGTAGAGATGGGGACCTTAATCTTGCTGAGGTTGGTCGTGAACTCCTGACCTCAAGCGATCCTCCTGCCTCAGCCTCCCAAAGTGCTAGGATTATGGGCTTGAGCCACCATGCCCAGCCTGCAATTCTTTTATATATTCATGAATTAACATGCCATTGAGAATTCTATTTTCATCATGGACAAACTGAGGTTCAGAGTGGTGACCCCTATCTTGTTTTCCTAATAAGAACAGTGAGTGCTAAGCCCTTACATGGACTTTGTCTTCTATTTGCATTTGGAAGTCCCCAAGATGATATTGGGAGACTTCCTCCTGAGGATGATTGTCCCTCATGCTGAGGTGTCCTATAAGGCCCCTGTGGTACACAGACCTGTAAGAGCACAACTCAATACATTCTGAATTATCCATTCTAGTGGATTCCATGGATATTTCAAACCATAGATAATCACAGCCACGTCTGTTTGACTTTGGGAACATTCCAGTGAAGACAAATATTAAACTTGTGCTTCATTAAAAAAAAAAAAAGAAAAACTTAAGAATGGAATTCATGTCTATGTCCTGTCAGCCACTGTTGTTTCCTAATAAGTCCCATCGCTGCCTCATGCAAAAGTGCTTAATGTATTTTCCATCTCTGTGACAGCCGGCCAGATGTTGACTGGGACTACCTAGTTTGCTAAAATTAAGATGCTTAAAATGAGTTACTCCCAACTATGTCTCTTATTTCAGTGATTTTTTTCATCAATGAACAAGGCAAAAATACTCCCACAGCCCGACACACTGCATTTTCTCTCTCCCTGGCCCTGCCTTTATCTCTCCCTTCATCCAGGTCTCTGTTCAGTATCCCCCCAGAGCACATCTTTGCGACTCCTCTAATAAATTCACCCTCTTCATCACTTCCTATCCCCTTACCAGTCTACATTTGTTGTCATAGCGCTTAATCACCAACTGACATATTATATATTTACTTTTTTGAAATTACTGTTTATTACCTCTCTCCCTCCACTAGAGAATAATGTTCCAAGAGAGTGGACACTTGTTTTCCTTTCTTTCATTTTTTTCAACTGCTGTATGTACAGCATGTAGAATAGTGCCTGAAAGTTAGTAGGCATTCAAAACATAATTATAAACATGACTGATCATCAGGACTTAGTAATTTCACCTCCTAAGAATCTCTCAATCCTTTCCCTTTTCTTTTGCTATCCATTGCACCTGGCAGTAGATGTTATACTGTTCTGTCTTGACGTATCCACCTGGTACCTATCACACCAAGAGCCATCATCAGCCATCACACAGACATGCAAATGTGACCTTGCCACGAGCCGACTTGCAATCTTCCCTGGTCTCTCTTTACACAGTAGCTTCTCTGGACCCTCAAGGGCTTCCCTGAGTGTGTAGTCTACCCAGCTTGACTTTCCCTCCTTTCATGAGACTTCTCATTCTCTGGGATAAGAGCAGGTGCTGCCTGTTGCAGGAAGTATATCCCCTTCTTCTACTTTTTGCTTCTTTTTAGGAAAATTTCCATGTATTAATAGATTTTTATTTCTCTTACTAAATTGAGAGTTCATTGAAATTCAGGACTGAATCATGTTCATTTTTGCACCTCCAATACCTAACACAGAGTCTGGCCTAATGCAGGCTCTTGATACATGTCGGCTGGATGAATAAAAAATCCAGTTTAGACATGATAAGAATCAATACACATATACGTATATACAGGTTCTGAAGTGTGTGTGTGTGTGTGTGTGCATACGTTTTAAACAGCCCTTGGGGAAGAACAGCTGTGTATAACAAAAATCAATCCATAGAGAAGCCACCTGTGCAATACAGACAAAAAACACAGAAAATCTTGTTCTGTTTTGCCCTTGATATACACTTTGGGAATAGAGAAAATGAAATTACATAGTTACAAGTGGATAACCAATGCTTTTGAAAGGATGAAAGAATGCAGAAAGAACAACTTTCTAAGTGATCCAGTGATAAAAATGTGAATAAACGTTAATTCATCAAATTATAAAGTGAAAATGTAATGTTTTATATCTGATTCCAGATAAATTATAATTGATTTTGATAAGCAATTATTTTCATTAATATATCATCTGGATATAATTTAGCATTTGCAGCTTAACTATTATAATTTCATTAATTTGCTGTCATACATAAGAAGGTATGATAGACAAAACAAAATAATAATCAATATCATGATCTAAAGAATCTCTAAAGAACAAATATCTCTTACATGTTTGCAATCACTAGGAAAAAAGTGAATATAATATTAATGCATTTAGAAAGTTTATATGATCTGTGTGTGTTCAATTTTATATAATTGAAATATTTCTGTTACAACTACATATGAACAAGTTTATTTTGGCTGAGCTGGGAGAATATACTCAGCGACTGAAAGTTCAATCTTTATTAGCCAAAGTGATTAAGAGAGTATTTGATAAAGTGTCCCAGCGAAGATTGTGGATATCAAAGATGGGACAAACTTTTTAAACTATTGTGAGCTTTCCCTGTAAATCTACTACATGGAAGGGACTGAATAATTCTATCCCACCTTCTCCTGCAGAAAAAAACA